CAGAAATGTCCCTCTCCCCCCTGTCCCGGAGCGCAGCACGGACCCCAGGGCTCTGCTGCGTGCGCAGGTTTTGGGGGCGGATGTGACGTCTCTTATCAGGTCTCCCCCGACCCAGACGAGGCGCTTAAAGTGGCCCTGCGTGGCGGAGGGTCGCGCCCCTTTGCGGACAGGACTCCCTACGGCCGCCCCATCCTTCGCTTCCCCGGCAGCATCTCAGCGGCGCGCTGCGGGACAGGCCAGGATCGAGAACAGCGGTTCCCCAACCCCAGTCCTGCGGGCTCAGATAAGCTGCGCTTACCTAGGGGGGAAACACCGCAAACACTACAGCAGGATTGGACCCTGTCAGTCGTGCCTAGTTAACCTTGGCTTTACGCACACTGTATGGAAACGGGAGGCTCCTCCCTGCCTTGCTCCTGTGGCCGTACAGCTGAGGGCGAGTAAAACTCACGGGCATCCGAACCCCAAGTCTCCGGGCACGTCGGATGCCCGCCAAAGGATTTGGAAACATCTGAAGCCCCCGGTGGAGGATGTTTGCTGGTAGTAGGACCATTGAAAAATGCACGAATTTGGCTGGGGACAAAAAAAACCCCTTAAAAAAAAAAAAAAAAAGAAAATTATGGAAATGGGAGACTCCTCCCTAATTTGGCTGAAGGCAAGGCGTCCAAACCCCAAGCCTCCAGGCTTGGGCCCGCACGTAGGACGCCTGCCAACAGATCTGGAAGTACCTGTAGCCCCAGGCTGCAACGTTTGGGGTGGAGGATACTCGCCAGGGCTACATGTGGTTCTTGAATGATTGAAAGGATCCAGAACTAATCTGGCTGATTTGACTTGGGACATGAAAATATGTCCTTAAAAATAAAAGAAAAAAAATGTTATGAGGTACCCAAGCTAATATTGGTCTAGAAGCAAAAGGAAGCAAAACTCGTAGCAGAGGTGATCCCTTTTCTAAGACCAATTAGACAGTTCCAAAATTTTTAAGAAGGTGTGGGTTTTTTGCAAATATCTAGTTGGTCTAATACCAGATATCACCTCTGCCACAAGTTTTGATATCTTTTATTAGACCAGCCAAATAGTTGGAAAAATGGTTCTTTGCAAGCTTCCGTGCACAAGCACCCTTCTTCAAGCGTAGGGAATCGGCTGGGGGTTTTTTTTCACCCACACACAACCAAAAACCCC